GACAGATCGGGGGCGCAGCAAACGGGCGCGATCTCACCGCAACATCTGGGAAGCGGCGCACACCCGTCCCCAATCCGTCCCTAAACCCAGAAAAGCCGCTGCAAAAAAGAACCTCCTACAGAGGAGGACTTACCTGAAGCACCGCAGCAAGCGTGGCCGTGGGATCACCGCCGCGCCCGTCGTCTGGAGCAATCCAGGCTCCCGACCCCCCCGGCATCTGATCGTGCCAGGGAGAAACTGCGCGGCTGCTCAGGGGATCTATGTGATCCTGCCGCCGCATGTTTCTTTTCCCCCCTGTGTGGCAGGGGCCGAAGTTTAATTCTGGGTATAAGCTACTGATACTGAAAAAGTGTGCCTGCACACAAAAGCTTATACCCAGAATTAAGCTCTGTTGGTCTTAAAGTTGCCAGTGGAATCAAACTTTGTTCCAATAAGTCAAAGACTGGCATGGGCAGCAAGCTTGCCCTTCAGGAAACCAGTCTTCGGCTGCCCTGACCTCATCAAATCTAAGTAGGGTCTACATAACGTATGTAAATGTATGATTTTTTAAAAACATAAATGAATATAGTTCATATTATATGTCTGTAATTCTATAAATTGAAATAAAATTCATGTTTTAAAAAAGCTAAGCAGGGTCATCCCGGTTAGTACTTGGACAGAGACCACCAAGCAAGTCACAGGTTGCTAATGCAGAGGCAGGCAAAAGCAACCCACCTCTGCCCAAGTCTTAGCTTCTAAACCCTACGGGTTGCCAGAAGCCAGTTGTGACCTGACGGCACTTTCCATCACCAGCCTTAGCAGAAGAAGCCCCAAAACACTTTGCCAAGGAACACCCCCATTGCCTGAAAAGCAGTTTGGGGAAAACACACACACACACACAAACATGTTTAGGAAAAGAGCAACCACTCAGTTGGGTACCTGTTTGTAGATACAAGTCACCGTTTGTTCGGATAATCCAGGCTGTGTCGTCACTCAAAGACACAAATGCCGCCTGGGGTAAAGCCTCATACCAGTGACGTTTCCCTTTTATGGTGACTTTCCCACAGGCAAAGGCTTTATTGGTTTTCTGTTCAATCTTCCAGAGAAGAGTCCCTGAGGAAGAACACGCACGTAAACAAGACGAAGCACATTTCGTGGCCCTGCCCGACCCCTTTTTGCGTGCTCTAGCTCAGCTCATTAGTTGCTTTATAGTTTAAAGGGGCCTCTATGGAGGAAGGGAGGCAACACAAAGTCGCACTGTTTGAAAGAACAGCCACAAGACAGATGCAGGAGCCAGTATAAGAGAACATCAAAACGGGTTGGGAAAGCGACGTCTGCCCAAGAGTGCTGTGGCCAATCAGAACAGGCCATACTAGGCCAGAAGGACCAATGGTCTGATTCAGGCACCGCTGTAGGTCCAATCCAACACAAAACAAAGCAAAAGCAACTTCCACTTAGCAGATTACTTTCATTACTGCTTCAGATGATGGTGTCGTCGGAGCTGACTTGTCCTGTTTTAAGTAGGAGCATCCCTAAATGCCACTATTGAACAGAAAGACAGATCCCAAATGTGATTAAAAAAAAAAAAGATAGGATACAGCCTACAGCCTAGCCACAGCATTAAATCCTGTATAGTGCTAAAATTTAAAGCAGACACATCCTAGTTTCTTTTAATGGCATTTTCCACAGAAATTAGACATAACTCAAACGGGAGGTCTGAGAGCCAGTTTATACAACCAGCAGAATCGAGAGGTAAAATTGTCCCCGAACTATACCCAGGCTGAAGAATGGAAAAAAGATCGTGGGTCTGAACACTTCCCCACAGAAAAATCTCACTCTACGTAAACACAAGCAGGCAAGCAGAACAAACCACTTTTGTTTTTTTCATTCATTTATACCCCACCTTTCTCCCCAACGGGGAACCAAAACAGCTCCCATCATTCTCCTCTCCTCCCATTTTATCCTCACAACAACCCTGTGAGGTAGGTTAGGCCGAGAGTGTGTGACTGGCCCCAGGTCACCCAGCAAACTTCCATGGCATGAGTAGGGATTCGAGCCTGGGGCTTCCAAATACTAGTCTGGCACTCTTAACCATTACAATCACACTGGCTCTGTTAAGTCTGCCGGTGTGCATGGGGGGAAAGGGTCTCGTGTTTTTGTGTGTTCCAGGGGGGCTCTGAAATATCCAATCAGCCCAACCCCACCTGCAGCCTGGTACAGTCCTAAAAAGCTTTACTGCTTTTTTCCTGACTCCCAAAAAGAAATACCTGGTGTGACCTTCCATACGCATGACAGCACTTTTCCTTTGGAGGCAACTTAGCCACACTGTCTCCAGTTGTATTTTTCATGGTTCCAGCAGCCATACACCCAGCCTCAAAGAATTTAATTTTCAACATGGGAAATCTTAAAAACTTAATGAAATGGCATTTGTTACGTTATCAGGCTTTGTAAATGGCTCAGAATCGTGTCAAGGCTAAGGAGCTGCTAACCTCGTGTGCTCTGAGACATAAAACGAAGGACAGAGCCAAGATGCAGCGATATTAAAGGAACAGCGTTGAAGCTTTCATGCAAATTCGATCTTCCGACCAGGTACAGAAAGCAGAGAGGCAAAGCCAACTCACCTGAAGGGGAGACTGCCACCTGCTGGACATTTTCCTCAAACTTCTGCCACCGCAGACCGGCATTAGGTAAAGCACTACAGTACAGGCCACCTTTGTAATCCAGGCACCAGATGTATTTATCGGAGACAACCAGGCTCAGTATTCCATAGCCAGGACCCGCGTAGCCCATCCAGCTTTCTGCAAACTAAAGACTGGAGAGTTAGACGGTAGTGAGGTGTCTTTATCAGTATAAGAAAGCTAACAGTATACACTGACAATGCATCTATCTAAAGAAGGGTGTTCAACTCAAAACAGTTACATTGGCCAGAATCAACCCTGATAGGTACATGGGGACATCACCAGACACTCCCCCCACCCCTGATATCATCAGAAGGCCTTGTCCCTGTGAATTTGAGGGTTTGGGGATACCAGGGAGTGGCAGCACTTACAGATCAAACGGACAAGATGAATATCACCATCTCCTTCTGCAGACCAAAGGACAGGTTTCTGCAACCTCAATTTGCCTCAGGTTTGTGCAGGGAAAGGTTTAACCCTTCAACCTCCACTTAGTTTCACCATCTAAAACCTGACTCCCTGCTTTGTTGTGTTTTATAGGAAAAAAGGATCCCAGATGTTGGCACCTCTCGGCTAATATTTGCTGACAATCTCTTGGGGCGCAGCTTTATTGGCACCCAGCTGACTTAACACCACTGAGCAAGAAGTCCAGCAATTCCTGCTAAGACGCCAAACCAAATCTGTTGGGGGGGGGCCCCTCAGGCAACCCAAAAGATGATTCACTGTACACCCTTGGTCTAAAGCTTTTGTTTTATATCAGTGCCTGTTTGATGGCTGCCAGAGAACTGCATTCATCTGGTAATACAACAATTTTGGGGGAAACTACATTTATATCAGATTCAAATTCTTCTACCTTTACCACCACTGACCCCCAGCACTTGCTTTCATAGCCATGAGCAGGATTTGTAGAGAAACTCAGGGCTGGAACACCCAACCCTGATCTGGATGGCTCAGGCAAGCCCGATCTTATCAGATCTCAGAAACTAAGCAGGGTTGGCCCTGGTTAGAATTTGGATGGGAGGCCACCAAGGAAGCCTAGGGTCACGACACAGAGTCAGGCAATGGCAAACTACCTCTGAATGTCTCTTTCCTTGAGAACACTACTGGGTCACCTAAGTTGGCTGTGACGTGACAGTACTTTCTTCCACCACCACCACCAGAACACCCACCATCAGTTACGGAATGAGGCCTTCTAGCATGCAGTTCCAGAATTCCATCAGCATTCTCAAACCCTCAGCTACCAATTTAACCAAAAGAACAAAGTTGGGTCATCCTGAAATATTCATAAACCAGAGGGGCTGAGTGCTGTTCTTGGCTAAGAGAACCGTACTTGGTTAAGCTGCCTGGCTAAGGAAACAGGTGGATTTCCCTTCACGCTATGCTACGTCCAACACCCTCTCCTTCAAAACCACAGCCTCCCATATCTCAGGCCCTCTTACTCCTCCATGGTGCCATTCTGTTTTTCTTTTTCATTTCAAAGGCTGGATTTGGGCCACCTGGTGGTGGAAATGCTTGTTAACACAGAACGAGGTGAGTCAGCGCCCAGCTGGGATGGTTGGGGACCTCCTGGCGGGTCAGCCTGGAGAGGGAGACTGGCTCAACACAAGCCACTTCATTTAAAAGGTGTAACAAAGCCTATTTCTGTATGTCGTGCTGCAGCTGCTTGTTCAAGAACATACCTGATCGGACTTTAAAAGCATCCCTTCCTCTACGCTTGCTTGGGTTTTCTCCGGGGGAGCAAGGCAACCCCCCGCATCTGCCACACTAGTCTCCGAAGACGAATACGGCAGGCCGTGCCTGTAGATATCCTCTTCATCACTCGAGGCCGATTTCTCAGCTCCAGCATCGTTGCTTATCCATTCGCTGGCGGTGTTTGTGTTGCATTTAGGGCTGAATGCCTCCCTGAAGTCCTGCCCAGGTAAGGCATCCTCCTGGTGACATGGCTCGTCCCTAGAAACAGCAGGAAGATCATTAAGGGGGCTTGGGGGGACTCCGTACACCAGAGGCTGCTGGGATTTCTGCTCTGGGAGGGGCTCAGCCCCTGTTTCCCAGCCCAAAGATTCCTCAACACGAGAGGACGATATCCCATTTTCCAGCATTCCGTTCACAGTCTCTGTGTCTTTTAGAAGATCCACAATACTTTGTTGGCCTGGCTGATTTACTGTTTCGCACAGGGCAGAATAATCCTCTTCAGCTTGGGAGGGCTGCTTGGACTTGGTTTCAGCAAGCTCGGGCGGAAGGCTCCTGTTTTGTTCAGTCTCATCACCACCCCCTTGATCACCAGGCAGCAGCAAGGGGGAGACAGAAGCTGAGAAGTCCGTGGCAGGCAACGCACCTACTTCGTTCTCCCCATTAGAAAGTTTCAGCAGCTCGGGAGCTTCGCCATTCCCCTCTGGGGTCGGGGCAGCCATCAGCTCTGGAGACTGAAGCATGCTGAAGATTTCAGGGCTGTTCTCCTCCCCCAGCACACTCTGCGAGTCCAGACTTTCCTGGTCGGGAGAATCCATCCCCGAGCGGTCTACAACGCCGCTCATCAGGCTTGAAGCAATGGAGAGGGAGTCTGCGTTGGTTGACTGGGGACTGTCGGTAAAACCTTGATATTCCGAGCATGGCGTGCTCTCCAGAGAGCTTGGATTTCTCCTGGATCCATTTTCTAAGCTCATGTATAGTTGGGAGATTAAAGGTGGGGGGGGTGAGAAAAGGGAGAAAGCAAAAAGAACACTGTCAACTGATTGAGGAAATGTCATTTAAGGGTGGATTAAAAACAAAATATATGCAACAACTGCATTTGAGGGGGTATTGTTTGCATTTGTGTGCGCGTGCGTGCCTGCCTGTGCCTGGAAGACATGGTGACCTCTGGTGACTCCTACTGAGGCATGGAGAACGTTCAGAGAAGTGGCTTGATAGCCTGCCTCTGCCTCCCGGCCCTGGTATTCTTTGGAGGTCTCCCATTCCAAATACCTACCAGGGTCAGCCCTGCTTAGCTTCTGAGATCTGATGAGATCGGGCTTGCCTGGACTATCCAGGTTAGGGCTACAAGTGCATTTTTAAAGCCTTGGGCAATCCTGACTTTGACCTATATTGGCAAGCTATAAAAGTGTTTCCGTGATTTAAACAGCAGCAGCATAAAGCATTCTTCTCTAGTCTTCTCGTACTGGAGATACATCTCCACTGGAACTGCTTTCCATGGTCCAAGTCAGAGGTTTTTCCCATCCCTGCTTCTTAAGGTTCAGTCTTGTTCCAACCCCCCCCCCCCAAAAAACCTGGAGATTCTGGGGATCACCTGCAGCTGTGGCTCCTCCCAACTCCAACACTGCTGCAATGAAGTACGAAGTCCATCTTCTCAGAATTTGAATCTTACACTAGATGGGTATCTCTAAGCCAAAAAGGTGTAAATGGGCACCAGATTTAATGGACAAGCCATTGATGAGGTGCTGACCCCGTGCATCAATAGGCATAGAAAACTGGATAACTATGCAGTGTTCCCCACCACCAGTACCACATGCTAGATTTCCCACTAACTATTAAACTAGATATTTTGGATTTATGCTGATTCAGTCCTTTGGTGTAAATAGGGGACTGGTACAACTTGAATTCAAGAAATCCAATGTACACATCCCAGGACCTCAGGAATGGATTATGCTTGGTGTGGAGCAGTCCCTGGAAACCCCCCACCTTTGTAAATATACATATTAATGCATTCTGCAAAGCATAGGTTTGCAAAACACAAAACCCTCTTTCAATAAATATTAGAGAAGGGGCATTCCCCCCCCACACACACACATATACTGGGTCAACCTGGACTTAGTAAACTGGGCTATTCTGCAAAAACAAAGAAACAAAACTAGCAAGGAGGGGGGTTTTTTAGGCCCGTTTCAGAATGACTTTGAAAGACAGTCACTAGGAAATGACAGAGACTTCCTCAAAGCCCCCTCAATTGTCCCCAATTGCCCCCTTGAGTACTGTTTCTGTGACTGGGCAAGCAGTGACAGCTGAGCAAATGAAGCTCCCTCCCTCTCCTCTCCCTCCCAACCCCACCCTTTCTGTTTTCCTCCCTCTTTGTCTATACATCTTGGCTACTAGGTAGTCAGCACCTGAAATGTCTAGTGTGTCCTAAGAAACAGATCCAGACAAAGAGAGCTGTGTTTCTTGAAAACTTATGCTACAAGAAAGTTTGTTAGTCTTAAAAGGTGCTACTGGTATTATTATTATTATTATTATTATTATTATTATTATTATTATTATTATTATTATTATTATTATGGGAGAAGGGGCTGAAAACAAATGTTTAATTAAATAATGCCTGTGACTGGAATCTTTTATGATGTTGTTTAAAACGGCAGTTTAGGATTGGGGTCATGGTGGGGAGGGAGTGCTTAATCCTTTCCCCCTGTATTTTCCCCAGACCTCTTTCCCCCCCCCACAGGGGGAATATATAGGTACCAGAAAGATACCTGTATGTCTTCCCCCATCAACCTGGTCATAATCTGACAACCAGTGGGAGATTGGTATGAGGAAATTCACTGCCAGAGGATGTAGTGATGGCCACAGGAATAAGCAGCTTTAAAAGGGGATTAGATAGATTCATGAAGGATAAGTCTATCAATTACTATTAGCTGTGGTGGTTGAGGGGAACCTCCATATTCAGAGGCTCTAAACCTCTGAATTCCAGAGCCAAAAGGCAACATCAGGGGAAGGCCTTGGCCTCTATGACCTGTAGGTGGCTGTCCAGAGGAACTGGTTGGCCACTGTGTGAGACAGGATGCTGGACTAGGGGGACTATTGGTCTGATCTTTTTGGCTGCAGTCACACTGAAAGCTTGACGCAATCTGCAGCCACCCTGAAGTGGCTTCACCATGAGCTCAGCCCATGGTTGATTGTTCAGATTATGGTGGCATCTTTTTTTTGTCTGTCACCCATGCGCATAAGCATGTATCACAAACTCCAGCTCCTTTTTGACAGCTCCACAATCCCTCTTTGAAGTACACCGGCCCCTCTTAGCCTCCTTCCCTTTGGCTCTCGTCTTTGGACTATATGAGAGGGGTAAAGTGCAGATTTACATGAGAGTAGTAATTATAATGTTAGTTGGCACATGATACTTTTGAAAATTTATAAACAAGAGATTACAAAGGGAGCTGGGAACCATGGAAGTACAGAGGGTGAACTTGAACCTCTCTCTCTCTCACACACACACATGATCAAACCTGCCCCACAAGTTTGTTGTGAGGATAAAAAAGGAGACGGAGAACACATGGTACCCCAAACTCCTTGGAGGACAGATGGCATTAAAAAGGCGACAGAGGTCAATAAAAATTATGAATTGGGTACACAAAATGGATAGGCCGGAAACTGTCTTTCTTGTTCACAACACTAGAATCCAGGATCATTCTATTAAAATGATGGGCTGGAGATTCATAGTAAATAGGGGGGGAAATATGCAGCCATAGATGCAGCCTATACAGGCCACCACAAGATGTGGCAGGGACCCGAAACTGAAAAAGGTTTTTTAAAAAAAAGGATTAGAAAAAGGCATAGTGGTTGTGTCTATCAGTAGCTACAAGTCGTGCAAGTGAAACAGGACCTGCTGCACTTGAAGGCAGTATCCTCAGAATGCCAGCTGATGGAGACAAACATGCAACACATGCAAATACACAAACACACACGCAAGTGGTTGAGGGCTGTTGACATAACCACTGTATGTTTCATGGAAGCATCTGGCTAGCAAGTGTCTGACTAAATGGGGAATTTCTGTAAGACATTCCAATAAAGAAGAGGTACTTTGAAGTATGTGTTTTCTTGAGAAATGAGAAAAATTCAGGTAAAGGGAATACCACCAAAGAACTAACACCTTGTGTTAAAGCCAAACCAATTCTTCCAAGAGCTACAGAATTTGACTACAAACCAGGTTATGCTGAATACTCCAAATTTTAAGTTGCTTTTTTAAAAAAGTGTCTCCTTTAATCACTAAAAACCAACCCTAGATTAATTTATACTGACAATTGGGTGTAATCTTCCATTGTGATCAAGTGAGTGAACACAGCCATTTTCACACTAGTGAAAGACTCGTTCTGCTGCTTTGTTTTAGTGGGACGTGTCTGTGTTGAGACGTATCTAATCCTTCAAGACAGAGGCAAAGAAGGTGATGAATTATGAGTTGCCTCTGTTGTTCATTCCAAACATATCCTTACAACCTATGTTGGATTACTGAATGAGAATTGTGTGTTATCAGCAACTGGCCAAATGCCCTACGATCTCTCAGCAACAGGACATTTATGATCCTTATTAAACAAAACAGCCAGAAAGGGAAGAATTAGATGCCTTCCTAACAGAGAGTCTGTCACTGGACAGCATGGCCTGAAAAGCAACATTTCCAAGAATGTATATGGCCTACAACCAGTGACCACAAGTCACAGTGGATACTTTAAACCAGGTTATGCAAAGAGATGCCTTTATAAATGTTTTAAGTCTGGTACCTATCAGTTTCATTGCTTAGCCCATGAGTGTTCAACACCATGTTTTGGATCCAAAGATACTCCTCTGTAAGCCACCCAGAGTCTGTTTACAGGGTGGGCGGGGTATAAATATAAGTATAAATAAAAATAAATAATAAGAAGGCATTTCTCGTGCAAGGGAAGGAGGGTTCTGCGAATTCTCTTCCCTCCCCACCTACAGTGTCTTATGCCACAATGCCTGTTTCTTCTGGAAAGTCCACTGAACTTCAAGCGCTGCCTTCTGAGGAACTCAAAGAATTGCAGATGAAGGAGCAGGGGTAGGAAAGCCCCCATGCGCAAACAGAACTTCACGCATAGTTTTTTTGGGATCCAAGATCATGTGCATACACTGCAAGAATCCTACAGCTGACCAAGAATGGTTTGAGATCAATCACCCCATTCTCCCTTTCAAAATATGATTAAATTCAACATAATCAGAGAAGAGAAAACAGCAGTCAACAGGGACCTGTATCCATGAAGGAGTCAACTAGTTATCTGAATCCATTTAAAGTATAAGGACATAAGGCCCTGACCTGGACAGCCCAGGCAAGCCAGATCTCATAAAATCTTGGAAGCTAATCAGGGTTGACTCCAGCAAGTACTTGGATGGGAGACCTCCTTGGAATAACAGCAGTCGGGAAGACAGGGGTAAGGATTATTCAGCCACCTCTCAAAATATCCTCCAGGCCCCCAGTAGGGGTCAGTCACCAGAGGTGGCTATGACTTCCAGGTGCACGTGCGTGCACACAAACTTTTTAAAAAAATAAGGACATAAGGAGACCCTGCTGACTGCTGAACTGGACCAGTGGTCTGTTATGTATTATGTTATGTGAATGAGCCTGAGCTTCAGTCACAACCTCCATAGACTCTCAGTATCCTAAAATCGACAGCCTGATTGGCTGCCTTGTGCAATGGACCAATCAAGAAAGACTATGACTTTTGGCGGGAACAAAATCTATTGGTCCTAAGTGCTCACTCATGATTGGACCTTACTGTTATAGGGGTGTGGTTTAGCCTGTTCCAAACTGTATATAAGTTGGGGTTGTTCTATGGCGTTGTGTGTGTTCTCTGTGCTCTGTTCTAATAAACTGAAATCACTGGTTAAGAGCGAGCTGCCTGATCTCGAGTTACAACATGGTCCCATCTAGTCCAGTGTATGGTTTCACATAGCAGCGAACTGCTATCCCTAGAGGGCCAAACAAACAGGGCATAGAGGCCAAGGCCTTTCCACACGGCTGCCTCCCAGAGATGGTATTCAGAGGTTTGCTGCCTCTGGATATGAATGGTCACCACACACCAGTCACTTTACATATGCTATAAATGTAACATGTGCAAAATGCGGCATCCAGGCTCCTGATGGGTCTCTCTATACGAGATCACATCCAGCCTGTGCTGAAGGCACTGCACTGGCTGCCAATATCATAGTGGATTCATTTCAAGGTGCTGGTTCTGACCTTTAAAGCCCTATATGGCAGGGGGCCTGTTTACCTGAGGGACCACCTTTCCCCATATGTTCCCCAGAGAGCACTGAGGTCAGGGTCACAAAATCGCCTGACTCTCCCTGGTCCGAAAGACATCAGATTGGCCACCACTAGAGCCAGGGCCTTCTCAGTGGTGGCTCCACTCTGGTGGAACGAGCTCCCAGAAGACATCAGGGCCCTGTGGGACTTTTTACAGTTCTGCAGGGCCTGTAAAATGGAGCTCTTCCACCATGCTTTCAATTAGGAGCCGCCACTGCTAAATGAGTCATCGGAACTGAACGTGCTATGGTCCTTATGACACAACGCTGGATACTGCCTTCGGACCACTTTATAGGTTGCAACACTGGTTATTGCCTTCTCGTATTGGATTACATCATAGGAACCACCATCTGTATGTACCAGCACTTTATGTAATTGTTGTTTATGTGAATTTTATTGCATATTATTGTTTTATTGTATTTTAATCTGTCTGTACGCTGCCTTGAGACAGTTTGCCCGGCAAGGCAGGATACAAATTGAAAGTAATAAACAAATAAATAAATGTGTGCAAACCTATTGACGCCAGCCCTTCAGGTCTGCTTGAGAGCCTTATGATATCTCGGTCTCCCCTTAAAAGAAAAATCTCGTTTTCGGTACAAGACACAGACACAATATCACCAGACCCTTCCAAGCTGCCAATCAGAGCCTGTGAAAAAGGAGAGAGGAAGAGAAGCTTTGAATGTGCTGAGAATCTCTCTAGAATGCAGACAACACTTGAGATTTTGTACTGTACTCTTGGCTAGGAACATTATTCGATTAAAACAAAGAGCACCATTGAAAGGAAAGGGGGATTTGAGGTGAGGGTGATTCTCATTAAGCTTGGCAAAGAGCATGGAACAGAAATGGGTTATACATGTTTTATAAGTTTAACTCTGTGGAGGCATATTCAGCGTCGCTAGCCCAGGAAGCATCATCTCAGATTACGTTTGTCAATGCTTTCAGCACTCAAAGCACCGCCAAGACGGCTGGCAAGAGCCTTCAGAAGCCTGTTAAGATGAAGGAAAGAAAAACATGCAGCTGTGCTGACAGACGCCTCATCATTAATCTGGAAATAGTCTACTGACACAGCTTTACGGTTTTGCATCATGAACAGGTCACCCAAAAATCCATTTATGGGAAACCCTACCAGAAGAAGCCATAACACACACTCGGGAATCTTAACACAAAAATCCTTGGGGACAGGAACCTTAACACAAAAATGCATGTCTTTCATGCATTCATTTTGTTTGCAGTCCCACTGTGGCTGGATCTTAATATGCACTGTAATACCAGCACTGTGTATCAATTTAATGGTAAGTTAACAATAAATCTAGCATATAGAGAACAGATGACTCAGCCTGAGTGACCCTCATTCAAATCAAAACCGTAGAACGAGGGACTAGGCAGACAGTGACAAACTCATCTTCTGCTTCCTGCCAGTGTGATCAGGAGCAATGGCTGCCTTAATATTATGTCAGTCCAAATACTACGGTGTGGATTGCACTCTAGGATCATGAAAAGCACCATGGTATCCTAATAGCAAGGCAGCTGGCCCCCATGGCAATTACAAAAGCAGGCCACCCACAGACTATGTAGGGTCCCTACATTCTCGGGGGTGATTTCTAAACTGTTTCCCCCTTTGTGCAATTCCTTACAGCGTCCTCCCAGTCCCTAGATTGTTGCTATAGCTAACAGCCAAGGAGGTTGCTTGTGCCCATCACAGAAGCAGCAAAAGAAGAAGAAGAGATTGGATTTATACCCCGCCCTTCACTACCCAAAGGAGTCTCAGAGTGGCTTACAATCTCCTTTCCCTTCCCCTCCGAACAACAGACACCCTGTGAGGTAGGTGGGCCTGAGAGAGCTCTGACAGGAACTGCTCTTTTTCAAGAACAGCTGTGCCAGAACTATGGCTTGCCCATGGTCATCCAGCAGGTGCAAGTGGAGGAGTGGGGAATCAAATTTGGTTCTCCCAGATTAGAGTCCGCACACTTAACCACTACACCAAACTGGCTCAAAAACATGACAACAGACAGGTTGAATGTTTCTGCATACGAAATATGACTCTGTAGATTCACAAAGAGGTAAAGACTGCCTCCCTGTCCTGGATAGCCCAGGACTGCCCAACCTTGTCAGATCTCAGAAGCTAAGCAGAGTCGGCCCTGGCTAGCATTTGGATGGGAGACCTCCGAGGAAGTCCAGGGTTGTGATAGGGAGCCAGGCAATGGCCAACCACCTCTGAACGTCTCTTGCCTCAAAATCCCTACGGGGTCGCCATAAGTCAGCTGGGACCTGATGGCACTTTCCACCACCAAAGAGTGTGTGCGCGCGCACAGACACAAAACTTCCAACTTGATGAGGACTGAGCGAAAGCAAGTCAAGGTGGTTAAATCCAAGAAATACAAGTGGGTCAAAGCAGAATAATGGAAGGGGGGCATGCTCTTTCCCCCTCCTTCAGAATGGCTGGGTCTACTGCTAAGGGACCGGGGTGGGGAGCATTTGGGCCAGGCTGGCCAATGGAAAGGGCCTCGTGCTCTCCCCCTCTTCCAATAAGCAGCCGCGTGGCTGGCCGCTGATGGAGCAGTGTGCCACTGCCTTACAATACATAACTAAGGGCCATTCAAGTGTACCTTAGGATCAAGCGGCAAACCCATGACGTTAGTCACAGAGCCAAAACCTTGCTGTGGAAGAACTGGATGCAACAATATTATCTTTTATTGCAAAAGAAATAAGAGAGAGAGAGATACTGCCATTCTGAAGAACTTCCACCAACACAAAAACATTCAACTACAAATTTCTACCATTCACTGAGCAGCCCACATCAGTCAACAATTGTTAACTACAAGTCAGTCCCATACTCAAACTATGTTACACTCTTCTTACTAAGTTTCCTTATTCAGAGATATCTTTAAAAACGGTCTCTTTCACTTGCCCATTAGGTTTGTTTCTGTACTCCTAAAGAATGAGGGGGTAGCCAGGTTCTCAGTAAATTTCTCCTGTACATCGCTTTTCCCTGCTTGAGTTTTCTTTTATAAATTGATTTCACCCATCGACATGATATACTGTATTTTGCGAGACCATATATCTGGCTGAAGTAACTTCAGAAAAGAGCCCACTGCCTTGGTCTTAAAGCCAGTTTTGGTGTTGTGGTTAAGTGTGAGAACTCTCATCTGGGGGAACCGGGTTTGATTCCCCACTCCTCCACTTGCCCCTGGCTGCATGACCTTGGGCAAGCCGTAGTTCCGGGGGGGGGGGGGTCCCCAGCCCTTTTGAGCCTGCAGTAACCGTTGGAATTCTGACACAGTGTGGGCGGGGGCTGCTGCAGGAGGCGGAGCCAGCCAGTAAATGGCTGCCTCAGCTAGCCTTCAGACTCCTTTGGGTAGTGAAGGGCGGGGTATAAATCCAATCTCTTCTTCTTCTTCAAATGCACTAGCTATAAGCAGGGTTCCCGCTAAACTGTGCATGTGAGTGGCTGCTCATTAACCGACGAAGCCCCGCTCAGCGGCAATCTGGAGCCACGCAGGGTCTTGCACTGCCCATTTTAAGTTTACAGCAGTTATATTCTGCTCAGGATGTGAAATGCTCTGCTCAGTAGGGGAAAACATTAGAGGGATCATTGGCTATAGCACAGCTTTATTGGTTTCACTCACCTGGTTTACAGTGTCTAATAAATAGATGCTATATTCATTCCAGCTCAGCACCCAACCTTCCTGGAAAAAGCAGGAAATGAGGCCGAATTGCCTCTCGGGGAAACTGTAACTTCCCTTGTCAGCGGGTTCCATCCGGGGATATAATTCAAAAGGTTTCATTCCAGCAGCGAACACGTCTTTCAAAATATAAGTGGCTTGTACAGTCCCGTGGACGTTCGATTTCCAAAGGCGAATCCCAGGCCTTGCGGCAAACAGCGTCAGGTCGCTTTGCTTACACAACCCAGGTATGAAACATGCTCCGATTTTTCCAGTGCTAAAATTGAAAAGCAAAAGTATGGGCAAACCACATAATGACACCAGGGGGTGGGGTGGAGAGGAGAAAAAGAGACCACCAGCGCCAACCACTTTAGTGTCCTAGCAAGGCTCTGGAGAGGCAGTATACAAATTTTCTAAACAACATAATTTTTGTGTTGCTTTTGTTTTGGTATTTATGCATTTTTGTGTTTGTGGTGTGTCTGTATGCCTGTGCCTGGAAGTCACGGTGACCGCTGGGGACTCCTACTGGGGCACGGAGGATGTTCAGAGAAGGGGCTCGATTCATATATTTTCCTCTCTGTGTTGCTTGCCAATAAAGCCCTCTATATTGGTTTGCAGAGGCCTCTGACCTCCCAGCCCTGGTATTCTCTGGAGGTCTCCCATCCAAATACTTGCCAGGGTCGGCCCTGCTTAGCTTCTGCAATCTGACAAGATCGGGCTTGCCTGGGCTACCCAGGTCAGGGCTCAAACAACGTAAATTTGAAAATGCTTTGCAATGTTGAACAAATTAGGAGCCTTGTGCGATGAATAAACAACCTTTGCATATTTGTAACGAATGACCTGAAATACAGAGCAGGAAGAATATAAACCAGGATTCACAGAAACATGTGCCATCTTCCTTGCGCATAACAGATATTTGCCAGCTCCTTTCCTGTTGCAGCCTCTAGAAATTTATTTCTGAAGGTCAGAAGATTCTCTGGAGCATTTTAGGGCCCAGTACAGGGAAATCTCATCAGATCTTGGAAGCTAAGTCGAGTTGGTCCTGGTTAGTATTTGGATAGGAAGTCTACCACCAAGGAAGTCCAGGGTCACTCTGCAGAGGCAGGCACTGACAGACCCACCTCTGAATGTCTCTTGCCTTGAAAATCCTAGATGGTTGCCTGTGACTTGACAGCACTTTCCACCAGTGTTCCCTCTAAGCTGAGTTAGTGTGAGCTAGCTCCCAGGTTTTTAGTCTCCGGCTCACACATTTTTGTCTTAGCTCGGGAAGGAGGACTCCAGAGCCAACTCATTTATGCAGTAGCCAAACTGCTCACTCACGACTTTAATGCCAGTAGCTCACAAAGTAGAATTGTTGCTCACAAGACTCCACAGCTTAGAGGGAGCATTGCTTTCCACCACCACAGGGAGAGGCAGTCAGGGAAGAAATCAAGCAATCGGCACTCACACAGAAGTGATTTTTACTTATATACAGGGTTCTCTGAATTCTGATCAAGTGTCTCCCCCCTCTCACAAAAGAAGGATAGATAACTATTTTCAACCCAGATAATGTAAGGGTATGCCAAAACCAAACAATGAATCTGTAAGTCTGGCAGAAATTTATTCTGCTTCCGATTTTTTTTGCTCTGGAAACAAATATAGAGGGCTCTATTGGAAAGCAACACAGAGAGGAAAATATATGAATGGATACAGAAGTTTGAATTAGACTCAAGGATCATGGGATAATAGCCAAGAAGGGTAAGAGAGCAGCATGGGATATTAATGCCCTGCTCATGACAAGCAGGATTTCAGATAAGCACACCTATCTCTCGTCAGAATAATTAAAGTAATAAAACGATCATACTTCAAATGATCTACTTAACAGCTTCAGAGAAAGGACGCTGAATGGAAAAAAATATTTTATGCAAAGCATTATGTTGAATGACTTCATTACCCAAACCCCATCTCTACAAATCTGAAACTAAATGGTATTTGTTTGCATCAAAATTTAATGGAGTTACTTTTTCCTGGGCTGGGTTCCAACTTGCTTGACAGATTTCTCTTCTGTGTAAAACAGTAGACTTCGCTGTAGAGTGGAGACCAGCAACACTTTCTGGCTGTAATCTAGCTGCACAATTGAAGACGGCTCTTCCAAGACCAAACTGGAATTGCAACGACCCTGGAGAGACATAACAGGGACACAGAACACCGTCGTTTCCCAAGTTAAGAACCTGACTATGCTGCGATGGCGGAGGCTCTCTCCTGAACGGGGGAGGCATTCCGCGCTCCAGGGGTGCTGGAGGGGTGTCACCTCAAGTGGCACCCCCAGGTGAGCCTCAGTGTGGGGCTCCAAGCCGGGGGCGCTTGAGGGGCGACCTCTTCCACGGCTTGAAGCCGGGGAATTGAGGCGCTCCTCCCTGCCCCATTCGGTCCACCCCCTGAGAGGCTCGGTTTTTACCGAGCATAGCTGAATGCCGATCGGGACAAGCAAGCGGGTCAGCGAATGAAGCATGATTAAAAGGAGTCTGTGATCAGACTGTCAAGGAACTGGAGAATGAGACGAGCGAAGAAGCTTTAAAAGTGAGTTCCGATCCCCCCCCCACCCTCAGCGGCGTCGGGAGGAATCCCAGACGTAAACAAACCGAACTGTGATTTAAAGAGACGGGGAGGGGGAGAAGACAATTAATCACTCAAGCGTGCCAGAGACTTAGCTGTTTTTTGCGGATAAACCAGCACTTGCTGAAGAAGTGTGAAAAAGCACTCTTTAGTATAAACAAAGCGGAAAATGGCCGGCTTCCGAGGGAGAGGAGTGAGATGGGGGCGTGGTTCTCAAAGTCCGAGAGTGGAGGAAGGAGATGTTTTCTCCACACTAACAGAGCTGCTTCGGCCCATTCATGAAAGACTCGATGGCCTTAACCAATTGATTGCTGCCTCAAACCAGAGCATGGCAAAACAGCAACAGCAGATCACCGAGCTTGTGAAAAAATCGATCCAAACTGATGAAAAACTTAAAGAGACCACACATGATGCTAAAAAGCTGAAGAAAAGAGTTGGTCTGATGGAACAAAAGCAGGATCTACACGAAAGGAAGCTATTGAACCTACAAATGGACAAAGCGAATAAAACCCTTAGATTCCAAGGGGTGGCTGAGACGACAGGAGAAATTTTGAAAGATGTGGCAGCTGAGCTAATCGCTCTATCGCTCGGCATTGCAACGGCTGAAGCGCATGCAGAGATAGAAGTGACATATCGTTCTTACTCTAAATATATTAAGCAAAACAAACTGCCGGGCGAGATCGTGGTCAAATTTCTCCGACGACAGACAAGAGATGATATTCTCAAAGCAACAGCAGACAAACCCCTGCAAATGGGATCAGCAAGTATCAGGGTCCTTAAGGACGTTCCATTTGAGGTTCGACAGAAAAGAAAAGCGTACAAAGAACTCATCTCAACACTTCAGATCAACCAAATTCAATACTCCTGGCTTTTTCCAGAAGGGGTCCAATTCAAATATAGAGACAAAAGAGAAAAAATCGACTCGGTGTTAAAAGCAGAAGAATGGTTGAAGCAATTCTTCGGACAGAAAGAGGAAGAGCAGCAAGACGGAGGAGGCCAGGCAGCTGACCTGGAAGAGACGGACAGAGACCTACTTGGAGCAGAAGGAGGCACGGCCAGAGAAGCATATGACTTGCGGCTAAGAGTTGCCAAATAGCACTTATGAACTAAAAAGACTTATGGATGAGCTGGAAGAAGTCTATGTGCACACTGAGAAGAAATTAGATATACAACAAAATGGACTAACTAATCTCCTAAATTCCTTGACTTAATGAAAGCATTAATCTTTATAACTCAGTAGACTTCGCTGTAGAGTGGAGACCAGCAACACTTTCTGGCTGTAATCTAGCTGCACAATTGAAGACGGCTCTTCCAAGACCAAACTGGAATTGCAACGACCCTGGAGAGACATAACAGGGACACAGAACACCGTTGTTTCCCAAGTTAAGAACCTGACTATGCTTTTAACAGTGCTGGATCAAATTAAAGAAGATAGAACCTGAAACTGATAGGCACCACTGGAGTTCAGTTCACGCTGGACCATTTATGCAGAAGGAGCAAGTGTTCTTTTCCCCCCGATACTTGGCTTGACAGATCTCCTTGAACAACCTTGAAGATAGGCAAGGCCCAACAACCCCACAGCTGAGCACAGACTGTGAATCTAGTGATGATCCAACATAAACTGGGATATGAGCAAACAAACCCTTTGGGGAAAACTCAGACTCACAAAAGCTTATGCTGGAATAAATTCTGTTATTCTTTTGAGAGCCACTGGACTCCTACTTTGGGGGAAACCCAGCAATTTCAGCAGACCCTATAGCAAACTGTAGTATATTTCGGGAAAAGTGAACAAAACCAGCTGGAAAAAGGGATCTATGGATCCCCTAAAGAAGATCCATAGAGCAGACGACACTTACCAGGCCTTCTTCAATGCAGCTGTGGTATCTTCTAAAAAGCCTCTTCTAATGACCACAGTATTTATAATCAACAATCCACCACAGAAATTCAGGAGGGCTAAGCAGGTTACATAATTTATTGTGCACCTGGGGTTTGTTACCTGGATACAGCACACATTCTGATCTCTAAACTACAGACTCCTAAGCTGAGGGGCAGAGTGGGAATGATGCACCTTGGAAAATTAAGTCACTGTGTTGGATGCATCCACTGCTCCATCCCCAAAGGAATGCAGAGGGTCCATGCTATACTGACCTCCACTGTCTTTGAGCAGTAAGCAGCACCTCTAAGGAAAGGAGCAAGCATTCGTTCAGATTCCTTGACACTATCTGTGCTGCAGAAGACAGGTACAGTGCAGAAGAAAAGGCCAAAAAGACTGTCATTGCCAAGATAACAGCAGGCAGAAGGAAGTGTGGGAAGCCAGAAAGCCACACAGACCAGGGTATCCCACAGTTTGGGGGCGGAGGAGGAATGCTTGCTGGACTGGGAGCTGATTCACTTGATACTTAAAAAGAGATGCAAGCATTTTCTCAGTTGTGCCACCACTATTTTAAAACTTCCCGGGAGAACAAAACAAAGCAGAAAAAAGCAGCAAACAAAACACGGAAATAAAGAAAGGAGAAGGAAGGAAAGAAAGATGCAAATGTATCCTTAATCAAGTAACAATAGACATGAAAACTATTTAGAACTTGTTCCGCCTTCCACAGTGAAATCATATAGAACTAATCCAAGCCATGCTGAAGTGGTCATAATACCAAAATAAATGAAGATTAAATCATTTCCAACTGTCCAAGAACGGACCATATTGGAAAGTGCAGAATATTTCAGGTAAGGGGACTAAACCGTTAAGAAATTATTCAGACTAGCTTGACAGACAAGCTTTGCCACCAAACATACATCAGTGCCAGTCTGTTGACTTTTATTGTGAAATCTGGTATTTTTGGATGTCTTGTTATTACTAGCACCACAAAGTCTTTATGAATGGAACACTGTGCCTTTGTATCAACTACATTAAGCTGCCATAACTCCAAGTCCTCAGGAAACTGGGCTCCAACTATCGTGCTAACTTTAAACAAAGCATTATTTCCCCCCACCCCCCGCCTGATCCGTAATGTTAAGGTAACTCCACAGCATATTTTCCTATTTTACAACTTCTATCCTACCATAATCCTCAGACCAGCTGGCAGCAGCTGAAAGCCATGACATTCAATCAATAAAATTGAATCAATTTTAGTAAGAACTGCATAAAGAACAATTGCAAATCCATTAGCAGCAGCAAGTTCCAATAAAATATCCTTTAAACTGGGAATATAAATGTCCTTTCTTCCACATTTGCCAGAATAACGCAGTCTTAACCAGTCTCCCAACTCAAAACACAGCAGGTCTGCCTTAACTCTCTCTAGGAAAGGGTTCCACCACCACAGACAAAGCCCTGCCCCTGGTGCAAGGCAGCCTAATTAAACAACGCCAACACTTGTAGGAAGCTCCAATCTGGTGACTTAAGCAAACAAAGTGGTTCCTACAGGATGAAGAAGTCTTATAGGAGAGGCTAAAGGCCAAAGGCCCATCCAGTCCAACACTCTGTATCACACAGTGGCCAGAAATACCAGTGCCATCAGGAGGTCCACCAGTGGGGCCAGGACATTAGAAGCCCTCCCACTGTTGACCCCCCCCCCCAAGCACCAAGAAGACAGAGCATCACTTGCCCCAGAGTCCCTATCTATACCTTGTGGCTAATAGCCACTGATGGACCTCTGCTCCATATGCTTATCTAATTCCCTTTTGAAGCCGTCCATGCTTGTAGCCGCCACCACTTCCTGTGGCAGTGAATTCCAAGTGTTAATCACTCTTTGGGTGAAAGAAGTACTTCCTTTTATCCGTTCTAACCCGACCGCTCAGCAATTTCATGGTGTGCTCACGAGTTCTTGTATTGTGAGAAAGGGAGAAAAGTACCTCTTTCTCTACCTGCACTTTCCCATGCATAATTTTATAAACCTCGATCATGTCACCCCTCAGTCGTCGTTTCTCCAAGCTAAAGAGCCCTAAGCGCCTTGACCTTTCCTCATAGGGAAAGTGTTCCGACCCTTTTATCATTCGAGTTGCCCTTTTCTGCACTTTTTCCAAAGCTATAATATCCTTTTTAAGGAGTGGTGACCAGAATTGCACACAGTATTCCAAATGAGGTTGCACCATTGATTTATATAGGGACATTATGATATTGGCTGATCTTATACCGCCTTTCCACCCGATCAGGGTCCACATGGTGGTGAACGTAAAATACATTAAAACAATTAAAATACAGTTAAAATTATAAAATAATTATATTAAAAACACATAAGGAACACAAGAAGGAGGGCCACTATTATTGTACAGGCCAGAAAAAACAAAAAGATGAGATGCCAACAGGCCAGAACATTGTACGATTGCTCATATTAAAAAGGGCTCACAGAAATGAAAGGCCCAGCCTTCCTTGTCTCCAGTACTGCCTTCAATTTTGATGCAGAAACTACCTGCCCCCTGATCTGGAGCAACTCCTTACCTGATCGAAATCCAACGCAGAGTAGACGATTTTCCCTTTGTCATCTCCGGAGTATAATTTCATTCCGTTGGGACTCCATGCCAAAGCTGTGATGCTACTTTTGTGGATTCCAGACACGTCAAATCTTCGAAGCTGCAAAAAAGACTCCCAAGTGAACATACCAAAGGAACTGAGTAAGGGGCAGGAAATGGGCAGAAAGCCTATTCTACGGTCCAATTAACATAGCGGTGCTTTTCTCTGACTAGGCAAGCGATTTCACTTTAACATGTATCAGGAATTTCACAGAAGCCTGTTTCCAGACAAAGATGACCTGTATAATTAGGGATTTCGAAAAAGCCCTACTCATACCACGAAGCTAAAACACGCTTGCTAGATACTGCGTTAAGCACATGTCCTTAACCTGACGGCCAGGAAACTGCACAATTAATTAGAGGCTGTCTCAAACACCACAGGTTTTAATCAAGTTTGGGTCTTACTTGTTTGTTTCTCCCAGGCAACGAAGAGACCAGCTGAAAAACAGCAATCTTGCCTGAAGCTGTTCCAACCGCAACAAGATCATCAAAGCAGCTCAAGAGTTTCACAACCGTAATAGACTCACTTTTCCCCTGATCAAACAAGAGCAAAAACGTTAAGTGTGAAATGAAGGCAGCAAGTTTCCAGATGCAAGCCCAACAGTTTTATTTGTGCTGGCTGGAACTGGGATGCCCGAGGGAGCGCTTCCTCCATATGGGTCGTCCCCCTGATCCTCACCCCCCAGAACTTGAAATTCTCCAAGATGTTGCTTCAGAGTCTGTGCTCAGTTATGGAAGAACACCAGTGTGGTGTAGGATCTGGCGTGGCCCCCTAGCCTCAGGTAGACCCATGTCGAAACTCCCAGCTGCCATGAAACTTACTTGAGCCAGTCATTTGCTCTCGGGCTATCCTACTTCACAGGGTTGTTGGGAGGGTAAAATGGAGGAGAGGAGAACTACACACGCTACCTTGAGCTGCTTACAGGAAGATGGAGGAATGTACTAAATAGCATGGAGCAGAACCTCCTCAACTGGGTTCCCTCCAACTTCCACAAAGTTTTCTTCCAGCAAGTTTGTGTATATTGTGTGTATGAATGGAGGATGGAAATTGAACTGGCTCCTTCTATGATTTGTGAGAGTGCAGGAAGAGGAACTGTTGGGGAACAGCTTGTCAACTACACAACACCTCACCTGTATGCATCTCTTTCCTGTCCTACATATATAAAGCCTAGATAGGGCCGGAGGCACAAGCCGTTTAACAAAAGAGATTAGTCCATGGCTCAGAGCCAATGACGACTGGGTGAACCAGTCAGCGGACTTAAAACTTGCACAAGATTTGGTTTTGTGCTTTAAAAAACAAATACCTGTTTTTTTCTTAATTAAATTATTTAAATTGGATGTTTTTTGTGAGCCACTTGAAAACAGAGCACTAAACTACCAAAATAAATAAACACCTTGTTAGACCTCTAGATTTGTTTTGCTAATGTAACCACTTTTCATTTTTATGTTTACACACTGGTCTCAGGGTACTGTTTATTACGTTTCTTCATTTATACCCCACTTTTCTCTCCAAGGGGGCCCAAAGCAGCTCATGTTATTTTCCTCTCCTCCATGTTATCCTTACAACAACCCTGTGAGGTAGGTTAGGCAGAGAGTGGCCCAAAGTCACCCAACAATCTTTCACTGCAGATGCAAATATGGGTCCTCCCAGACCCTATCCTGACATTCTAACCACTACATCATGCTGGTATGATGGCACATGATACAGCAACCTTGGTGATGTTAATAAACTATGCTCTGGTCACTGCCCGGATCTCAAATCTCTCCTGGGAACGTATGTGCAACATCTAAAGCTCCATAGTGAAAGAAAGGTAGGACATCAATGAAATAAATCAATAAAACAAATCATCGGTAACTTTCTGCCATCATGGAATCTACATTTGGTTGATTTGGTGGGAAATATGTTTTAGTGTGATTAGATAAAAATGTCACCCAGTTGGATTCAAAAGACCTGGTTTTTGGATCATTTAAATAAAGCACCAGCTATACAACAACAAAAAAAGGATAACTTAAAAGATTAAAAAAGGAGATGCAGCTTAAAACCAACCTGTAAAACATGCTGAACAGAATAACAGGATTATAGACAATTAGACAGAGAGTGAAACTGAACTTAGTGTTAGATAAATTTACATAAAGGGCTAGAGGGACAGAAGTGTTAGTCTTCCACAGTGAAAACAAACAGGTATCTTAAACTTCAAAGACTCTTTTTTTCTTTTAATGCAGCATAAGCTTCCCTGTACTACAGCCCACTTCGTCATGCGTCTGAGAAACTGGGTTCCAGTCCAATCTTATGCTGGAATACATTTCCTGAGGGGCAGGCGACATGATTCCTCTTTGGTTTTTAAAGCGACCGCCGCACCTTTCGCTCGCAGACAGCTAACAGATGTTAAAACTGAGGGCAGAAACCTCGGGTATATTCTGGGAAAAAATGAAGCCGTACACTTTTAAACAACGTATGTTCACTCTTACCTCAAAATTGTACTTCTTCATCTGGTTCAGGTGCCTGCAGTACAGATACAGCATCCCGATACTGCTGCCCACAGCAATGTAGTCCCCATTAGTGTCGAGGGCAGTGAGGTACACCACAATGGAACGGAATCCCTTCTGGATCCTCGTAGGGATGGCATTCAGGAGGTAGTACAAGGGGCAGAACTCCTTGAAAGTAAAGGATGGCGTCACCGATGCCATGGTCAACAGCCGAATGTGTTACCTGTAAACTGGGAAAGATGCACTTAATTTATTCTCCACAACAGAGACAATGTCTGTTACGCATCCCCTTTAGAATCCAAATAACTGAGTGTAAATATAAATATATTGCTATTATTTACTTCGTTTACACCTTGCCCCCATCCCCAATCAGGACCCAAAGCAACTTATATTGTTCCCCTCTTCTTCATTGTTATCCTCACAACAACCCTGTGAGGTTGGTTCGGATGAGTGTGTGTGTCTGACCCCAAATCACCTCGTAAGCTTTGCCAGCTCCTATTCCAGAGCTCTAACCGCCATACCACACTGGCTGTCTCCTGATAAATGTGGTTTCAGATTCACAATACCACTGACCGCAGATTAGGGACATGAGACGAATGGTTATACTAACCTAGAAATCAAATTACTATGCAATTGCTTTGTGCTTTAAGGCAGACAAGAGGCAACATTTCTTTCGGTTCTGGTTTTCCAGCATTTTCACTGAAACGTGAAGGGGGGAACACAAATCGCTCTTACACTTTTCCAGTTTAAAATCATGACAGTTCTGGCATTTTTGCAGAAGAAATAAGGATTTTGCCTATTTTTCCCCCCAGGTGGGTAACCACGCAGGTCTGCAGTCAGGGGTCGTTTCGTAGAAAAAGAGCTAGGGGAACTCATTAGCATAACTCATTAGCATATGCCACACCCCCTGGCATCAGGGGCCCTGCGGTGGACCTGCAAGGCCGGAGGGAGTGTGAGGAAGCCCCGCCAAGGCCCTCCCTGGCCCCAGGCAGGAAGGGGTGGGGAGAGGTGGGGAGGAAGCAACTTACCCTCCCTCTTCTCCTGCCTCCTCCTGGCTGAATGAGGGCTGGAAGCGGGGCGGCCGGAAGCAGGGGGCGGGGCTTCATCGTGTGCCCCCCCGCACCTCACCCGGGGAAATGCGATCCCCCGCGATCCCCCCCAAAATGACCTCTGTCTGCAGTACAAAAGCAAGATCTGAGTACAGGACCACCCTGAAGACCAACAAGATTTCCAGGGTATAAGCTTCTGAGAGTCAAAGCTCCACAAGAATGGGGCTTTGACTCTTGAAAGCTTGGTACCCGATAAATCTTGCAGGTCTTTAAGGTGCTACTGAACTTGAACCTTGCTCTTCTCCTGGATTTTGTTCATAATCCCACAGAACTGACAGCAGTGAAACTGCAAAGAGAGGCTGCTCACAAGCCATAAAAGTGCTCATGATGCCCGTGACTAATTTAGCACCTAATACACAATTGATTTTCCTACACGGACATCCAGGCTCCATAAATGCTCTTGGCCAGCTCACCAATGGTGAGTCCCATTCCTGGCTTTTGTGAATAGCAAGGAACATGGAAAAGGGGGAAGGGTCTGCCTTCCTTTGTGCTGGCTTTGCAGAACCAGCCCTAGAAACTCACTTAGCTTCTTCCTCTTGCAAAAACCCTACTTGGGGGCAGGGGGGGGACCCCAAGACCCGTGTTCCCTCTAAGCTGAGTTAGGGTGAGCCAGCTCGTAGTTTTTTAGCCTCCGGCCCACAGATTTTCGCCTTCGCTCAGGAAGGGATGGCTCCAGAGCAAACTAATGTACACAGTAGCCAAATTGCTCGCTCACAACTTTACTGCCAGTAGCTCACAAAGCAGACGTTTTGCTCACAAGACTCCACAGCTTAGAGGGAACATTGCCCAAGACCCCACTCCTGACCATCTTGGTGCTCTGGAATGCACAGAGGAACTGGGGTCAGCAGGGCAGGGCTCTGTTTCACTTCCTGCAGGACTTGAAGACATCAGTGAGTGGCCGGGTTTTTCTCCCCTCTTCCCTCACATCCACCGTGGAGAGCCAAGAAGTTATTAGGCAACTAGAGGCAAGTCAATACTTTCTTAGCTTCAGGTCTCTGCACACAAAATGGGGATAATTCTACTGGCCTTCCTTGCAGGACTGTTGTTACAACCGATGCACGCAAAGTGCATCGAAAGCTTTAAATGTGCTACATAAATGCTAAGCATTATTATTAGACAGGAGTTAACACAAATGTTTGGCTTCATGAAGCCACTGTCTGTACTAGCCACACCATCTTTGTTTCCTTGCAGGCCTACTTGTGGTCTTAAGCACACAGGCTGGAAATCTAATAAATACATAAATCCCATATCAGCAATCCATTCAATGCCTGTGCTACCAAGTCTGCCTAAACTAATGGCAATGCAAAAGGCCCAAGGCCACAGGACTGACAGCAACTGAACTAGCTAACTAACACTGCACTGAAAGGGTGTGCAACAGTGAAACCTAAATCCCAAATAAACACTTTCCTTTTGCCAAAAATGAGAACACAGTAAATCCTGGCATTGCCTAATCTAACATCTCGTTTCCTTCTGGGCTGGATCATGTGATTTACACTACCTCCCGGCATAGTTCAGTCATTCAGCCAGAAAGTCTGTACACATCCAGGGGGCAATCATGGTGGTGGAGAGCGCTGTCGAGTTGCATCCAACATATGGCATCCTGCAGGGTTTTCAAGGCAACCGGCAAACAGAGGTGGTTTTGCCACGGCCCGCCTTTGTGTAGCGAGCCTGGACATCCTTCACATTCAAATACCAGCCAGAGCTCACCCTGCTTAGCTTCCAAGATCTGAGGAGCTTGGCCTAGCCTGGGCCACCCAGACTTCCCAATCCCTCATGCAATATCGAATCACCTTGCATGTAGTACATAAGGCATCCTCATATACAGTTTGCTGCCATGACAACAAACAGGGAAGGTCAGCTGCCATCTGCCTGTACATGAAACAGGTCAGATTCAAAGTCAGAGTAAGGCCAGCATCAAACGTCAAGGTGAGCATCAGCTATCTGGTTTCATTTCTCAGTTCTCATGTGGAAGATGTGTTGCGTAACCAGAACTGCATGCCCTGATCTTCCTGATAAAGTGCCCTTTGCTCTTTAGAGGGCTTTATTTTTATTTCAGGAGCGACAAGCTTTTTGGTGCTATCTCTCATAAATAAGTAACCAGAGTTTGAAACTCTAATAATTCTACTGTAACCGATTAAGGCTACAGCCCTATTTATGCTTACATGGGAGTCAGTTCCGACTGAATAGACTGGGACGTCTGAGAAACTGCACAGAATCTCCACTGTTACTGGCCTACCTCACAAGGCTGTTGTAAGTATTACAAGTGTCAGAATTATACTGACATTAAAAAAAAAGGGATGCAGTGAGATTGTGATCATGTTGAAAAGCTAATACATGCCTTTTAATCCAAAAAGATATACTGGAGTATAACAACAACAACACCTGCAGGGAGCCAGAGTTACATTATATTTCTATTCTTCCCCCAATATGAATATTAGTCTCATGCCTGGTTAAGATTTACAACTCTGCCAACGATGTTCCATCAAAGAATTTTTATTTATTTTTATTTTTAGAATAGAACTGTAGAATCCTACAGCTTTCCCTGACTTGAATAGCCCAGGCCCACGCTCATCACGTCTTGGAAGCTAAGCAGGGCTAACCCTTGGAAGCACTTGGAGGGGAGACCTCCAAGGAATACCAGGGCTGGGAAGATGAGGCAGGCAATAATAAGCCACCTCTCTGAAACGTCCGAGCCCCACTAGGGGTTGCCAGGCCAGCCATGACTTCCAGGCACACACACACACAAAGACTCACCAAAATTTAAAGGAATCCTACAGCTTCAATAGACCCAGAAGTTCAGCACATTCAGCCCCCTGTCTAAGGTACGATGCATCTCACTAGCTGACCAACACATTAGGGAATGATGGCTATGATTCTTCTCCAGGAGCAGGAGTGGACAAAGGTCTCTTCTCCTGTAGCTTTAATGAGGAACCAAAGAGAAGGCATATTTTGAAAGACAGCATTAACTGCAGCTCTGCCAAACCTTCACCTAGTCTTTCCACTCATTCTTTAAAAAAACAAAGTGGGCCATGAGATATATCTCTTCCCACAAAGTCTGCAACCAACATTCGTTAACCCACACAGAATGTACCTGAAGGAAAATCCAACAAGTACCACACAGCAAGGCGAGCAAGATAAACTGCTAAAGGGCACAGGGCTGCTAAAAACTGGGAGTCTATGGCCAGAAGGAGACTCCACCGAAGTTCCTCCAACCAATGCACCACTTGCAATGGATAGGAAATATGTAACTATGTATTCCTATTCGCTAGGTAAAGACTCCCAGAGGTCTGTTTTTTTTTGTCTCAGCAGCTGATGAATACACATACTGCAATATTCAACAAAGTGTACTGTATGAAGAGAAGCTCCCTAAGAAGTGTGCAATTTCCCACTCCAATGCCTGCTGGAGAAGGAGGCAAAAGAAATGGTTGCGCTTCAAAGGGCAGGGGGAGAAAAACCTGGGTCTACAAAGGAAAGAGGACAGATGCTTCCCCATTGAACAGAGAGCAGCAATTCTCCCCCCACCCGCCAATGATGAAAAAGATAGATGTACTAAACTATTACAACACCTACAGATATACAGTACATTCTGGAGTAGCTAACACAGAGTAACATGTACTAAACTATTACAACACCTACAGACATACAGTACATTCTGGAGTAGCTACCTATTCCCATCTCCATGCTCCCAGCCAGTAACTTTATGAGGAAGCCCAAGACCACCTATACGCCAAAAAATACACTCTTGAGGTTAAGTATAAACGGGTGCTTCAAAGTATAGAACGGGGGCAAACTAATCTCCATTGAGTAATTCCAAGTAAGTTCCGCTGTCATACTGACTACGCAATTTACATTTAGCAGACTCCGAATTTGCAACGTAGACTTAACTTCCCTCGTGTTTATTTGAGAGGTATTTAAGAAATCTGCTCCACAGAACCTCGCCTCAGTATCTACGCCAGGGCTTTGCAACTGCAAGGAGTGCTTCTGGGAATGTGCAGAGCGGCCGTACAACAACCCTACCGGGGTGACAAATCCCGACGTTTATAAGCACAAGATACTCGTCCACAGAAAGCTCCCACCACAATAAGCGTGTTAGTATTTAAGGTGCTCCAAGATTCCCTGGAAAGGGGCTATAGAAGCCAAGAAACCCTGAAAGGGACCGGGCTGATAGGAGCGTCCTTTCCTTTTGCAAAGTAGTCACGGGTGGGGCGACGACGAGACCCCAGGAGGGACGACTGCACGGCAGGAATTCCCCACAGGCACAACACGGATCCCAGCAACCCGTTTCGATGGAGACGACGACCACCTCCAGACTAGGCCGCAACCGCCCACTCACCTCAGCAGGGCCCGGGGCCCTTCATGGTTTTCGGGGCGGGCATCGCCTCTCCCACCCCACAAGCCCCCAGCAGCGCTGGGAAGGGAAAGTCGAGCGTTACCGCGGCCTCCAGGCGGCAGCGGCGGGACGGCCCTGAGGGGCGGAGCCGGACGTGAGAACACTTCCGAGGGGAGCGGCCTAAGCCGGAGCGCCGGTCTCTGTAGGCCGCACGAGGATGGCGGGTGAGTGTCGATGCGGGTTCCTTGAGAGGAGGGCGTCTGTCGCGCTTGTCTTCACGCTAGACCGTGGCGGGGAGCTCGAGCGGGTAAACTGCGGAGTGTTTTGCAGGGAAGGGTTGAGATACAATGTTCCCTCTAAGCTGTGGAGTCTTGTGAGCAAAAATTCTACCTTGTGAGCTCCTGGCATTAAAAGCTGTGAGCGAGCAGTTTGGCCACTGCATAAATTAAGTTTGCTCTGGAGCCATCCTCCCTGAGCTGAGACAAAAAGGTGTGAGCTGGAGGCTAAAAAACTGTGAGCACTAACTCAGTTTAGAGGGAACACTGGTTGAGAATCCCAGCCGGGATCCCTGTTCGAGGTTACTTCCAGGCAGAGTGCCGTGTCGTTCCAGTCAAAACCCATAGATCCAGGTGGAGAGCGGTAGAAGAAAGTTTTAGTCCAGTGGCACCTTGAAGACCAGCAAAGTTTAATTCTGCATGCACACGAAAGCTTATATCCAGAGTTAAACTTTGCTGGTCTTCAAAGGCCCACTGGACCCAAACTTTATTCTTCTAAACCCATAGGTTTAGGTTGATTTAAACTGGAGCAACTCTGTACAGGGTTGCATTATTAATGCGGCTTACTTATCCCTTTTCACTCTCTGGGCAAGGCAATTTGCTGTTCAGGTTTGTATTCCTATCTCTCTTGCATTGTTCTTTGTCGATCTTATACTATACGGTCATATTTGTTGCTCATGTTGTCATTCAGTTTGTACTATTATCCTACTGCATTGCCTTGTTCATTCGAAATCCTTAAGTTATATGATTACCTTTTCTCTCTTTTTGTACTCTATAATCCACCTTGAGTCTCAGTGAGAAAGGCGGGCTATAAATAAACTAAATAAAGAATCTTCTTATGTCAGTCTTTTCCTGTGTGTATTCATAGGGAAATTAGCTGAGATTTTGATTCACATTAGTGTCAGTGATCACAGGAGCAGGAAATGGTTGTCATTCTTGATTTGCCTAAATAAAGGGCGAATTCTGAGTGCTGTTGTTGACAAGTGAAATTGCCTTACACTGAATTAGACCTTTAGTCCATCAAGATCAGTATTATCTGCAGACAGGCAGCAACTCTCCAAATGGTTTAGCTTGAGGTCTCTCACATCACCTCCTTACTTGATCTTTTTAACAGGAGATGCTGGGGGTTGAATCTGGGACCTTTCGCATGCCCAGCAGATGCTCCACCACTGAGGCATTCATTTTTTATTTAGGTAGTTCATTTATATCACACTTTCCCCCCAAATGGGGACCTAAAGCAGCTTATGTAATTCTCCTTTCCTCCATTTTATTCTCACAACAGCCCTGCGAGGTAGGTTAGGCTGAGAGTATGTGACTGCCTCAAGGTCACCCAGTGAGCTTCCATGGCACAGACAGGGATTCGAACCTGGGTTTTCCAGATACTCGTCCAACACTCTTACCCACTACACCACACTGATCTGATGGGATTGGCCTTGCCTGAGCCATCTAGGTCTGGGCTGTACAGATTGCAAAAAGCATACAGAAATTAGGGGAATGTGATTGGAAGCATGGCATAAAAACCCAGAAGACAGTTTAAAAAATAGGATCCTACAGCTAACTTTAATTTTTCTGATTTAAAGCACTTTTGATTGTGTCTTTGAATAGGTAGAAGTCTTACTCCCAAGACACCCGGGTTATCAGTCAGTGCAAGAAAAATTAAAGATAATGCAGCAGACTGGCATAATTTAATAATGAAGTGGGAGACGCTGAATGAAAACGGTTTTACCAGTGCTACCAAAATCGTGAACATCAAAATTGCTACACAGTAAGTGCTGAAATAAAATGTCCACACTACCCATGCAAAGGTTATCTCAGCTGTCAAACTTCAGTTAGCTGGTGGCCTTTTAAATGCTCACACTGTGCAAGTTTAAGACCTATATTAAGAAACTATTTACTTACACATCAAGAAAAAACAATGATTCTGCATGCTGTTACACAAACGACTCCCTGTAGGCGGGTATAGCCTTTCTTAAGTGCACCTAAAGCAGTCTTGGCTTTCTTTTTGGACTTTTAGGTCTGTGTATACATGGTATCCCTGACCTGGGTGGCCCAAGCTAACCCAGTCTTGGAACCTAAGCAGGCTCAGCCTTGGTTAATATTTGGATGGGAGACCGCCAAGGAAGTCCAGGGTTGCTATTCAGAGGCAGGCAATGGCAAACCACCTCTGAATGTCTCTTGCCTTGAAAGCCCTGGGGGGTTGCCGTAAGTCATCTGCAACTTGACGGCACTTTCTCCCACCATGTCTAGGTCAAACCTAGCACCGTGTTCCCAGAAATGGAAGGAGACAAACTTTTTTTGTAGTTTTTAATATGTTTGTGTGTGTGCGCGCACTTGGAAGTCATGGCGACCTCTGGTGACTGACCCTTCCTGGGGGCCTGGAGGATGTTCAGAGAGGTGGCTGAATAAAGCTTGCCCCCACCTCCTGCCTCTGGTATTTCAAGGAAGTCTCCCATCCAAGTACTTGGCCAGAGTAAACCCTGCTTAGCTTCCGAGATCGGGCTTGCCTGGGCTATCCAGTTCAGGGTAAAGAACATTTCAATAATACACTTTTATTTCAAATAAAAGGGACAGCATAAAGAAAAGCAAAGAGCGAGAGAGAGCTAATTCAGAATTTAGCAGCTGGTCCAGCAGAATAGCATATACACCCCAAGAAAGCTAGTACACAATCCAGTCCTATGTAAAGATACCCTGGCGAGGCTGCTGCCTGAATGGAAAATAGAACGGGAGAATGTAAAATAGTTTACCTGTGAGATGAGAAGGGGTGGGGTGGGGGATTGTGGTCTAGGATTCCTTGAAGATCATGGAGGGGGGAGCAGCCCTTGAGTGAGAGTGGGAGTGCTTGCCTGGTTCCAAGTTGATCTCTTGAGTTCCAAAGGTGGCTGAATCCAAATTGTTGGGGAAAATAGCCCCTTTTTTACTTCTTATCTGTTGGAGTTTGAATTTGCACAGGAAAAACCCAGCTCTGGGAAGCACTAAAAGGGGCCGCAGAGAAGCTGGTAGAGTGTGTGGGGAACTCGACTGAATTAAGAGACAGAAGGACCAGTTTGGTCAGTGGTAGAAATTGGCCTAGTTAATGTTCTGCCTCTCTGGGCAAGTTCAAAAGCCTGCTGGAGGCAGTTGATTAGTTTACTACACTGGGAGGGGAGAGAATCATTCACAGATATCGGCCGGGTGGAATTAAAGTAATTACCAGGTATCCAAGACAGGCTCTTGACAATGGATGCCGTGTGGCTCTCCTGGGCCTGACTGGCATTTTGTTTCACCTCTATATATGTTTTAAAGTTCTCGTTAATGGCAGAAAATACGCTTTCCAAAACGGGAGAGGGACTCTCGTGGCCATTTCACCTTGTCTAATAACATCAGACAAGGGGAAATGGCCACGAAAGTATGCAAGAAATTGCAAGTAGATAAATAGGTACCACTTCAGTGGGAAGGTAACAGCATTCCATGTGCCTTGGCATCTAGTCATGCCGGCCACATGACCACGGAAATGTCTCTGGACAGCGCTGGCTCTTCGGCTTGGAAACGGAGATAAGCACCGCATCCCTAGAGTCGGATTCAACTGGCTTTCGAGCAAAGGAAACCTTTACCTTTAATAACATCAGAAGTACAAGAAACCAGGGATGGGGGTGCCTTCGCCCTGGTTGGAAGGGGAGGGTGATCTTCTGGGCAACAATGCTGCGAACAGGTAGGGAGGGTAGAGGTAACAACCACCGTCCTTAATAATGAAGGATATTTTTCTTCAGGTTTAAAGACAAGTTGGAGATAGAATGTGATAACGTTGCCTCCGATGATAGAAGCCCGCCACCCGATTACAATGTTGAGTTGGAAGAGCACTGCACAGAACTACTCAGGACCTTTGAAAATATGGTACTCTTCTTCACAGCCATAATGGCTACGTTTGTCTCATCTTTTAGACTAAGGCCACATCCTGAGCTAGGAAATATAGGTCTCTCTCTTTTTTAATTAAGTATATCCACCTGTCTGTTTGAGCCAACATCCATTCATAGAGACCTAAACAGGGCATCAAGGATGGAATATGTACACTTTTATGCAAGCCATTCAGAAGTGTTACAAAGGGAGGCTTAGAAGCATTCCATCACTTGCAAAAAGCACTTCTTGAGAATGTCTGACCTTGACTAGCTGTTTATCTCCACCCCAGTTCTGGGAGTGGGGGCAGAGCGGAAATGATGTCACATGGTGACGCTCTGGTTTTTGGGCAGACTCTGGTAAAACCACCCGGCACTGAAATTTCCTAAAGAAGTAAAATGGGAGAATCAAAGAACCTGATGTGACATAGGCTTACTGTTAAATGAGCTGCGGCCCAGTTATTACATAAAATACCTTACATATGCATTTGTTCTAAATTCTGTTAAGACAAAAATACATCAGAAAATGGAAAAGCTGTGTTCAACCACTAAAGGAATCTGTGACTTGGAAAAATACCATCATGGAGACCACAGGACACCATTATTCCACACATGGCCCACACCCTATTTCTGTAAGTAAATTCTTCCTTTGAAATGGGTTGTCTTTCCAATTTGAAGTGCTGGCTGTTAGTTGAAAATGAAAGCCAAAATACATGCAAAGAATTCCATGCAGCTCATGAGGACTGGACTGCAATTCTGTTGAGAGGATTCTGGATTTCCTGGGGTGCACTGTATTTTCATAATTAACAATTCCCTGTATCACATACAATTAAATTAAAATTGTATCCGATATTTTTTTCAGCAGGGCTAGGGCAGAAAATCTCCCTTTGGGAATTTAAAAGTTGCTGTATTTTAATTTTCTAAGATGATAACATGAATGAAGGTAGGAACTTTAATATATGGAGAAGAGAATCCAATATTGTGGTGTTCGGTATAATGAAAAATGGAATGTAAAGGAAGATGTGACTGTAGAACGACTTCTTGATTTTGCTTTTTTATTTCAGATGAAACGTCTGTCAAACTCCTAGAAATGTACTCAAAAGAACTGAAACTGAAGCAAACTATTGTGCAAGATTGCACATACTGCTGACCGAGATTCCTTAATGGTCTGCTTGTCATCATGGTTGTATCAGCCTTATATTGAACACAGCAGCAGAGTTACGCTAGAAAGTATGTTGTTGGAAACAGGACACAGATCACTCTAGCAGGCACTTCAGAACTATTTGAAAAGCTAACTCCTACCCTGAAAATCCTTGGATGAAAGTTAAGATGCAGAATCAATGTATTTAATATGTTCATAACAATATTTTAAAATATATTTGGGTATTTTTATATAATCCTATTCTGAAGGGGTTTTTTTACTATGTTTATACTGGTTTTAGTATGACGTTTGTAGGTATACTTGACCAAAAAAAAGTAAAATAGGTGAAATTCTAAAGCAGTACTTGACCAACAGTATTCAAGATGTCTGTGTTTTGTTTCAAGCATCTGTTCTCCCCCTGCCCTCAAATTACAAATTTTGTATCATAAGCAAAGCACCTGCTTCACTACTGATAGCAGAATGCAGTTTCCTTAGCAAATCAGTTCTAGCTGATTCAGGTAGTAGCATTTGCTTGTAGATATTGTGACTGCCTGTACATCAGTGCCTGAAAAAACTGGCACCTAAACCACATAGGGCCTTGCTTATAGACAAACCCAGTGCTTTTTGACAGTCTGCATAGAAAGTGTTCCAACTCCATAATGATCAGGCCCAAGAATCTGAATGGAAGAAATGAGAAGCTGTTTGTGGAAAAAGTCAACTATCATAAAAGACAGGACTTCCAGCTAAAGAAGTAAACAATTCCAGGTTTGGAATAACAGGGAAATGAAGAATCCGGCTAATAGAATATATAGCGGCGTATCTGCAGAGTTTGTAAGATCAAATCTTCTTTTGTCATACTACACACCACAGAAGAACACTAAAGGATAACTGTGCCAAATGATAGGACTTATTGTGACTATAGTAGCCAGATCAACACTGCATTTAAAATGAGGGACATCTTCCAAAACTTGAATGGGGAACAGGTAAAGCAGTCCCATGTCCCTTAATTTTCCTATCACTTTCCATCACTTGCCCTTTAGCCCATTTAATGGTCTTCAGACAACTGGCAAAAAGATTCTAATTTCCTTTAGCAACAAATAATTCACCTTCAAGAGCATGTGGATTTCGACCTTGTCTCATTAACTGTGCTTCTGCTGCTTAATGATGTTAAGCAGACAATTGGTCCTGATCAGACAGAATGGAAAACCATTGTTTAACTAAACCCTGATCAGGGGATCTCCTTAGTTAAAGAAATTATGACCAGGGGTGTGCAAAATTTGTTTTTCCCCGATTCAGGTCTCTTGGACCCCAAAAATATTGGTATTCCAAATACTGCCAAATACCAGTATCGGTATTGAATTGGGATTCGGGTAACTATTCAGGAAGACCAAATTTATTTAGCCCCATTATACCCTATGGGGACTGTCCTCATAGGCTATAATGGAGAATTGATCTGGGGGGGTTGGGGGCTCGGGGGTTTGTTTTTTGAAACAGAGGCACCAAATTTGCAGCATAGCTGCTGTTGCCTCCCTTCAACCCCCCCCCCCATGTTTTAAAAAGATTGGACCAGGGGGTCAGATGCTATGGGCCCCCCAAAGGAGCCCCCATCCACAGTCTCTTTAAATGCCTTTGAGCAAATAAAAGCCAAATAATATCAGCTTTTATTCAGGCACGGTTATTTTGGTAGCCGAATCAGATTCTCCAATCTGTATTCGGCTGAATAAATACTGATAAAGTATTTTTCGGGTATTTATTTAGCTAAGTATATACCGAGTGCACACCCCTAGTCATGATTTTGCTTCATATCTGAACTGAACCATCTGTATTCGGCTGAATAAATACTGATAAGATATTTAGCTAAGTATATACCAAGCGCACACCCCTAGTCATGATTTCGCTTCGTATCTGAACTGAACCAATATCTAAGTTAACTATATACTACAATCTGTTGCAGGTCTTTCTACACTCAAATACTGTATGGAATGTAAGAACATACCACTCCTGGCAGGAGCTATTAACGCCATACTTACACATCTGTTTAGTACATAGCCTCACCAGTCTCAAGGCCTAAAGGTGAGCTTGCCTGGGTCAAGCCATTTGCTAATGCCTTATGTACATAATTGAATTAGTGTTTAAAATTGTGCACCTACCATTTAAGACAAGCTTGTGCCACCATCCACTTTGCAAAGATAATCAAATAGCCTGATTTCCAACTGAATTTTTCAAGTTGGTGGTTATACAGAACCACCAAATCTGTTGTAAAACTTGAGACTACACAGATTTCAAGTATGTCTTTGTTTTTAATATTTCTCAGCAGTTCCATCTCAGAATCCTTTATCAGAACATTGGCAAGAAGCAGTGCAACATATCTGCTAACAAACTCATTCTGGGAAGATTGTATCAATTAAGTAGACAACGCAACCTATAAGGAGCATCTCTCTCAAAATTATCAAGCAGTTTAAATA